AAATGTTTTTAAGTTGTTCCTTGGTCATCGTATATCAAATTCATCCATATATAACAATAGAAAGTGGAAGCGATTACATTTTTTAGAGATAGAAATAATTACATAGAACTATAGGCGTCGCGCTTTTGAATTATGTTACTATATTCGATAACTGCGTTTTCTTATCGAGTTGATATTTTCCCATACTGCAAGATAAGAAAAACTTAATTCTAATGACATTGCAACGTATTGTATAAGATATAATAAAGAGCAGATATTAATTTGCTTATGTAAAAATAGTATTGTGTATGCCAAGAGATACGGATAATGATGCGGATAAGAACATAGTAACATGTATGTGCTTAATTTTCTTCATTTCTTTATGTTACGTTCGAATAGCTTTTGGAACAAAATTCAAAAGATGTGCTCTGAAGATTTTCTCGGTATCCATTTTTAAACAACGTATATTTAAATAAAATGAATAAAATGAAAGCTGAGCGACGAGAAATAATTAAGCGGCAATAATTGCAATTTCAACACATTATTTTTAATTTGGAGATCAATTGCAAGATCTAACACCATGACAGTGTCAAAAATATCTTTAATAAAATTTGTATATAATCTGAAATTAATATACATCCAATGATTTTATCTATATCTCTTCCAAGGCGATACGAAAATCGAATCATTGGTTCGTAACCTTTAGTTGTTGATGCATAATATTTAATATTGATTAACTTTTGCAACTTGGATGATGTATGACAGGCCTGCTCACAGTTTGCGCTATCTTCCCGATTTCTGAGACAGCAATTTTCTTACTTCATTTTGCATCTAGTCTCCTCACAATTAAAAAGGATTTTACGTTCTTCAGCATTCCAACGCTATTTCATACCTATCCTTAAACGTTAATTTACGTTCCATCGTTGTTTCAAAAATTGTAGCAGGACGTATGAATTATCTGGTGCTGTGTGATTATTAGTGTTCATATAGTATATTACATGTAGAACAAATAAGTAAACAATATTGAAATAATATATATTTTTTTTAAGAGTTCCCGTTCAAATCCTATCAAGAGTATTATCTCACGTGCAAGATAAACTTTTATCAGCATACAGAGAATGATATGTCCTTATCCGCAGCATCTCTATCTCTTGGCACACACGTTACTATTTTTACATAAGCAAATTAATCTCTGCTCTTGTTCATATCTTATGTAATACGTTACAATATCATTAAAATTAAATTCTTATCATCTTGCAATATGGGAAAATATCATCTCGATAACAAGACGCAGTTATCAAGTACAGCGCAATTAAAAAGCGCCTACTTACAGCGCGGCGCCTATAACTCCATGTAATTATAATTAAAAAATGTAATCTCCTTCTATTGTTTTATATTGTTATATATGGATGAATTTAATACATGATGCTGTTTATTTTTGACGTAAGGACAACTTAAAAAGTTTTGAAAGTAATGAGGAGGGGAAGGAGATTTTTCAGCAATTTTTCAATTTTGCAAAACCTGGATACACAGTTGCAAAGACAGGGTGTTGCCTGGAAAAACTTGGAAAATCAAGGAAAACTCAGGGAATTTGTTTATGCCTGGAAAATCAGGGAAAAGTCAGGGAATTTTATTAGAAATCAGGAAATTTTTTGAATTTGTTCTTTTTAAAATTTTCATATATTATAATAATATAGAACAGGAAAGATCTTTAAGAAGAAAAAAGAATTTAGAAGCAAAGGAGTTAGAAATGAAACGTATACAAATTTTAGAAAGTGCGCAAAAAGAAGCAGAAGCGCTTCAAGAACAAATTGCAATTTTTAAAAAATAATCGAAAATTTCTTTAATATTAAAGTGCAATGTAAATTTTTATTATATTTTCGCTGGGTAATGTAATTTACGTTGTTATGTATCGACAAATTTTTATGTTTTGTTTAAACTTTTATAAATCGAAAATATAAGGACAATTGCACAATAAATATATACATATATATATATATATTCATTTATAAGATACTTAACCCTCTGCTTGATTCGTAGATTTTCGAGAAACAGTAACAATTAGAATTTACTGTAAACTTTGATTGATTTGGAGAGGTAAGGCCTACAAATTCCATTTAAGGAAATCCTAAAAATATTTCCTCAAATGAAAGTTACAAGCAACCCCTCTAATTTAATCAAATTTTACAGTAAATTCAAATTTTACTGTTCCTTGAAAGAATGCCCATGAATCCCCATGAATCATGCGGATGGTTAAAAAAATACTTTTATTTGACCTGGAATTTTTAACAAATTGCCTGGAAAATCAGGGAAAAGTCAGGGAATTTTTTTTCCAGATTTGAGTAAACATCCTAAAAGAGTATGAAATACATTACAACTTTCATATAAACAATTTTTGCGTATATCTCGTATTTTAAAAGATATACGCTAAAAATGAAAATGGTTTCTTTTTTCAAAGGGGGTGGTTCCATCCTATATTTACCTCATCAGAATGGAATTCCGCACGAACAAAAAATAGTTTTTCATTACGGATGAACTACTTTACTTCCACACAAAGTTTCAGAATTTTTTGAATTTCCGGGTTCCCTAATCTTCCTTGTTAGTTACATTTTAGTTAGTTTTTGGATAATACTTTTCTGCACTAAATAGTAAGTACACGTTCAATAGGCGCGCTCGACATTTATTAGCACCTTAACTTATTGCATTAGTTCAGCAGTGCAGCTAAAAGGAATAGGCCCTCTGTATAACCACACATAGCAACTGTTACCATCCCAAATTTTAAATTAAAATGGCTCGCAATGTCCGATTGTCCAAATTCAAAAGAATTGTGTGAAAATGTACTGCTAGAAGAAGCACATTCTTTTCCTTATAAAGACGTAAATAATCTGGAAAAGTCTTCATCAGAATCAGAAGCGGAGGGCACTTTCTTTCTCTTTTCTATACGATAAAAATGTGAATGTTGATAATATTGATATCACAACAATTTCAGATGCTACCAAACCATTAGATATAAAAGAACAGTGCTTAACATATTTATCTGACAAATCAAAAGACTTTCATACTTTGGATAAATATCCAATTATAAAAAGAATTTATATAAAATATAATACACTTTTACCGAGCTCCGCGCCTGTTGAACGTGCATTTAGTGCAGAGCAACAAATTTTAACGCCGCAACGAAATAATTTGATGACAATTTTGAATGTTTGATGTTTTTTTTAAACATAATGTATAAATGTTAAATGAATTATTTGAATAAAACTAATTAATAGCTTTATAAGTGTTACTTCATTTTATTGTATATGTTAAACTTATTCGCATAGAATATTTATGTATGTACATACAAAATATGTATAGTACGTAAATATTATGTCCGAATATGTGAAATCATAAATGACTATTTATTTTGAAATTTTACGTTAATAAATAAAGGTGCCTGCAGTACCTAGATACATTTAAGGCACATTTGAGGCACCTGTACCTAGGTATTTTGTTTTCTAATACTTGTACCTGTACCTCGGTACTTCTTTCCAGAGTACTTGTAACTGTACCCAAATACTGAAAATACTTGTACCATACCTAAGTACGGAAAAGTACCTTTGCTCAACACTGCTGATAACCTCAAGCGGATTTTCTAAGTCGTGTTCGTATCTCACCGGGAAATCATCTCATTCGGCCAGACATTTTTCCCCGCCTAATCAAGTCGTCTGGCGGAATTCGCTTCCTACGACTTTATACCCTCTTCGATCCTAGTCCGTTCTCGGCGAGCGAGGCTGCGATCGGGCGCGGTCAACCCCGTTCGCTCGAGTCCACGCACGCCGCACGAGTGCGATTTTCAGGAACGAGTATGATTTTCGCAAATAACGCGCCTGCCGATTCGCCGATCGGCCGAGAGTCGAGAAGGCGACCAGTATGTGCGGCGGGATTAACTTACAACTAGTTACGATTAGACGCGACAGTTGGCCTTCCACGGGCGCGGCGCGAAGAGTGGCGGCGGCGGCGGCGGCGGGTGCACTTGCACCGTGCTATTATATATTCCAATACTCATCGCCGCGTGGACCCCGTGCTTGCATGTGTACGTGTGCGCGTTTCTGCCGGCGAGGGTCGAAGAGGGCGGCGATAATATGCGCTGACAGGCACGCACCCCCTCGGGCTTGCGCGGCCGCGAAAGGGGATGCTGCCTACGAGAAAGGAAAACATATACATACAACAACCCGATAGAATGAGCATCGCGTGCGCCGACGCTTACGACCCCCTGCACCCCTTCGACCTTCTCCCCTCCCCCCTCCCTCCAGCTTGGCTCCCTTCGTCGCTCTCTGTTCTTCTCGCGCTCTACAGCCATCTCTTCCCTTCTCTCTTCGCTTCCTCGTGCGCGCGTGCTCGGAATTACGCACTGATGTTATAATCCTCTCGTGTTACGCCGTCGCACATGCTGTCCTGTAAGCAATACATTGTTTTTTTTTATCCGGCTCCATCTCCCTCCTCCAGCACCCATATGCACACTTCGCTGCCGTATGATCGACGAATTGTGCGCCGATATCGTCGAGGGTAGTACCGTTGGCTCTCATATCCGCGAAGCGCGAGAGATCCGTCGCGGACGGACGAGATCGCGCTCGGATAACAAACATTTCGAACAATGAATATCTCGAGCAACGAAATGTTTCCCCGTTTGGCATAAGCCTCTCCGCGTTTTTTCGATAACTCGCGAGTGCACCGCGAGTCATCGCACCGCCACCCTTTATATTCCACCCTTTGACTGTCTCTCTCGTTCTGTTCTCTCACAGAGCAACCTCCTCTCCGTTGCTCATTCCTTTTATCATTCTTCAAGATGGGCGCAGCGAAGGAGAGCCGAGAAAGGGAATCTATAAATCCCGCGTTTTGTGTGAGATGTATTTTCGGATTTACCTTGTCTCATTGACATCGAAAACGTCGCGAGCAAGCGGAGGAGGGCGTGTTATTCTCGCACTCCCTTCCTCCGCTCAGTTTCACGGGAATAACGTCAAGTTTTTCTTTCCCCTCAGCTATCTAGTAGCCGGCAGCCTGGTGGATCGCGTGTCGCGTCACAGTCAGGCCTTGATCGAGACGGATTTCTTTCTGGATCAGGAGCACGAGTCGCCGTTGCTTGTATCGTCATTCGATCTTCTCGCGCGTATCTGCGGTCATCTGAAGAGGTCCGTCGATCAAGATAACGTCAGCATACACGGCGAGGGCGGCGGCAACGTGGAGCAAACAAGCTCCGAGGCGCATTTGTTGTCGACCTTGTCGACGACCGAGGCCTCAGGTGCGATCGGCGCACTATACGCGGCGGTCGCGTTGACGCCGCAGAATCAGAAAGGAGCCTCGCCGACGCCCAATCAGACCCTCACGACCGTCGTGCGCACCCTTGCCAGTCGCGGTCTCAAGCTACTCAAGTCGATCGCGGAGCTCGATCTTCGGACGCTGCAGGTAAGTTTGTCGCTTGGACTCTGCACAGACGTACACCGTGAAGAGAAAGGTCGGGCGGGAAAACAAACAAATGTTTGCTCGATAGGTGCAATTGTTAGGGGTGAGGGTGCAAATGAACAGGTGAATCCCCCTGACACAAGTAGAAGAACAAGAGATAAATTTATTGTATAATGCAGGCCGCAGCTCGCTGTATCGCTCGCGAAGGAGACAGGCAGACACAGGGCAAGAGCACAGGCTTTTGCATAACACATAATACATAACACATAAGAGAATAAACCAATTAGTTTTTTCTTCATTTCCCTCCTCAGGACAGAAATGAAGAACTCTGATTGGTTGATTCTCTTATGCGTTGTGCATTATGTGTTATGCAGAAGTCTGTGCTCTGGCCCTACTTCCCGCTTAAGGGCCAGAGCACAGACTTCTGCATAACGCATAATACACAACGCATAAGAGAACCAACCAATCAGAGTTCTTCATTTCTGTCCTGAGGAGGGAAATGAAGAGAAAACTAATTGGTTTATTCTCTTGTGCGTTGTGTATTATGCGTTATGCAGAAGTCTGTGCTCTGGTCCATAGACTTCGCAACGCGCCCGCCGTGGCGGTAAGATGATTAGAAGGGAGACAACAGGCTCTGTTACTTGGGTGCCGGAGGTGGCGCTGCGTAGTGTACGGACCCGAGACTCGTACCTAGTGGTCTATAAAGAAGAACTTGCTCTAACAGTAATATTAGGTCTAGTAGCTAATTCTTTCCGATGAAATTTACATAGCTTAGAGCAAAATTTGAAATTGAAATATCCTCCCGTCTTTTTGCGGTTTTAAAGTGTTGATATTTAACTTTTCGAAATCGACACATGGTTTGCCGTTTGACGCACGTAGCCTCAAATAATCACTAATGTTCACGGTGGCTACAAAGAGCATATTTGATACGCGATGCACTTTGCATTTCATTTGAACAAAAGCGCTTCTAAAGCAGCCGAAAGTGGTTTGAACGTTTTCGAAGTGGTAATTTTCGAAGTGGTGATCTTCACGACCAACCACGCCTCGGTCAGCCAAACTATTTGAAGACGAGGAGTTGCAAAATCGACTGAACGAAAATACGGTACAAACACAACAAGAACTGGCGGAAAAGCTGGAATAAGCCAGAAAGTTATTTATATTGATTGTTTACGTCGCATTATGTGGGAAAGGGAGAAAGAAAGGAGAGGGAAAGAAGACAGAAAGAAGAGAAGTGGATTCCACACGAGCTAACCATTAATAACAAAAATCGTCGATTGACCACATGCATCACTTTGCTCGCCAGACAGCAAGAGAAGATTTTTTATACAAAATCGTAAGTGATGACGAAAGATTATAAAGATTAGATTATATATGAAAATCCTAAACAAAAAATCATGGATTACACCCTGGTCAACCGACAACGTCGATAGTAAAACCCAAATATTTCGGGAAAAGAGTCCTCTCTATATATGATGGGACCAGAAGAGTATGCTGTACTCTGAGCTCTTGGAACCGGATAAAACTATTAAAGCAGAGACTTACCGAAGAGCGATTGATATGTTTGAGCGATGCAATTGAGAAAAAAGATTATTTAGGTTGGACAAAGTAGCCGTAATAAAGTCATCTTGTTGCACGACAATGCAAATCGCGTACAGCAGAAGCCATAAAGGAAATCATCCTATACTTAAGCTGGGAAGATGTCCTACACGCGGTGTAACACCAAACGACGTTCTCCAATACGCACTGTCTGATACACATTTTTTGACAGTTGACGACCTATGAAATTTCATCGATTACTTTATAGCCATACTCAAAGCCACCAAGTTTCTATTGTGATGGGATTCAGCAACAGTCCAATAAATAGCATAAGATTATCCGATAACAACGGAGAACGTTTCATTGATTAATCTTGTTCTATTGATTTTTAGATAAATGATGAAAAATGTCGGAAATCGGAAGGAATTAACTATTAGACCTTATAATAACATATTTGTTAATGTACTTTCACGCCGAGGAAACATTTTCTACAAATGAGAAAGTGCACATTTTCCTAAAACCGCGACTTTTCACGGAAGCAACTGTTCGTTCGATCTAAAGAGAAGGATTTAGATTTTAGCAGATACGTATCATTAGTACCCACCGAAGAAACATTTCTTACTTCTTGGGTATTTTTCTCTCCGTTCAGCAAAAGAATATGTATCGCCAATTTTCAGATGTTCTCACAGAACTCTCACAGAACAGACTGTACGATATTTTAGGCGTCCACCTTGTGGGAAATGCTTGATCCGGTTCTCGGGTCGGTGGCGCACCCGTGAATGTTTCGTGAACATTCTAGTTCACTTGAGTTCGCGGAGAGGAACGACCCGGGACGCAAGAAACTGAAAAGTTTCAGCTCGTTCCTTCTCGCGAACTCAAGTGAAACTGGGTTGTTCGTGAAATATCGGAAACAAATTCACGCATACGACATCAATCCGGAAGCCAGATCGAGCGAATCCAGATCTGCACGATTAATGCTTGATTTGTAACTGCGACGCGGCGCCGTCAGCGTAATTTCATCGTTCCGCTCTAATTTCGTCATCCGCACTCTCTCAGACACATCACGCTAAATACGCCCGTTTAATTTCTCTCACCTGGTACGATCATTACGATTCAGTTTAAACGTGGAACCAACGTCGGGCAGTAGTTATATTCGGCGATGGAAGTAGATCTTGGTCTATGCCTAGTCTCCTAGTTCACATACGATACATCAGCGTGCAGCCACAGCGGCCACGCTTGAGCGTTATAATTATGTGTTTACTTTGATAAATGTATTTTTAAACGTGTATTTTTAAAACAAGCGCTGTCGGTTTGTGTATATGGGTTGACTTAAAACTATCGCGCTTCGAGAATGCATCATGAGGCTCGGAGTCGAAAATCGTCAGATACGAGCGTTGGATTGTCGAGGTTAGCCATAAATGAGACAATATATAATTGCCCTCACTGCAGTCGTTGGAAATCAATGCGGTTTACGTCTACGTATGCACTAGGACATTCCGTGAATATGGAAGTTTGACACTCACCGTTTCGCATTGAAATCCATCGATATTCAGCCAAAGTCCAGCCAGAGTAGCGACCAGTTTGGCATTGTTTCATGTTGTAATGACACTTCGCTACACTTCACTAACACACGCGACGCGATCAACATTCGCCTAGCAAATACTTCGACGGCATTGACGAAGATTCTTCAAAATAAATGAAAAATTAGGCAAGTCAGAGCTAACGCCGGTGAAAAGGCGCAAGTAATAATAATACTAACAATAATAACAACGCTGATGGACACGCGAAATTACAAACTGTTTATTGAAAAAATTACATACGTTTCGGTCCCACATTTGGATCCTCCTCAGTGTAACCCAATACCATAATAAAAAAGAATGTGAAAAATGTCGCAAAATAATAACAATGTTTTTGGGAAGCGATAGATCTGGAAAGGCTCAAACAAACACGTGTGAAAATTAGCAAAAAGTCACACTTCTAAGCCAAGCGTCAACATCCGACCAAGATACAATAATGCAGTATATTCTCGTAACGCTCAATACCAAGTGCTTTGTTTGAATCTTTACATCCAGATCTATCGCTTTCCATAGACATTGTTATTACTTTACGATTATTTTTCACATTCTTTTGTATTATGGTATTGGGTTACACTGAGGAGTCCAAATATAAGACCGAAACGTATGTAATTTTTTCAATAAACAGTTTATAATTTCGCGTGTTCATCGGCGTTATTATTAGTATTGTTAGTATTATTATTATTTGCGCCTTTTCACCGGCGTTAGCTCTGACTTGCCTAATTTTTAATTTATTTTGATTTGTTATTTTCGTGAGCTTTGCTTGTAGTTAATTGGAGATTCTTCATTTTGTCTCGAGACGGAGCGCACGAGATCGACGACAACGAACAACGAAATCTGAACTCGCGAACTCGCTTGAGCGTTCTATCTATCGCATGTTTGGTTCTCACTCTCACGCTTGAAGAATATATTGAAGAATATTTCGCGAATCGCGAGAACCGATCGCGTCCACCAATCACGAAACCAAATCAATCAAAATGCAAAATGGTCAGTAGCGGCGTGAACTTCTCTCACGCATGCAATTCTTGAGCTAAGATGTAACTCTTCAATATTTTTGCGGGCACTACTTCGCGAGTACTTTTGCGAGGTTTACTTACGTAATACTTTTTTTTTCAGTTTAATTTCCCGGGTTCACTTTAATTTCCCCTCTCATAAGTGTGAAAAAACGGAAACTGGAGATTCAGACGTCCACAAAAAATCTACGAACGCGTATGCGAAAATACATTCCTGACTGACTGTTTGAATTTTTTCCTATTAATCGTGACGTAAAATGAAGTTTATTTTATCTACTCACTTAATCGTTTTCGTAAACGATTACGGTCTACACATGAAGATTGCAACATAAAAACCACGACACGCGCGAATTCCCTCTCACAACGCGTTCTCGAGGTAGAAAGAAAGCAAAATAATTACTAGATGTGTTTAATCGTTCCGTGATACTCTACCTCTGACTTTGATCTTTCGACGAATTTAACTCCACGAGATCCTTTGCTTGCGAAACGTAATCACGGCGTAAATCTACGTGTAAGAAATCCAAGGAATTAACGATCGTGACTTTTGTAAAGTCTGTCGGCGCGAGCGAAGTAATAGCCACGCTTCACGCGCAGCAGCGCAATTCTAATGCGCAATACCGTTATAATATACCGTTTGAAAAAATTTGAGGGCTACACTAAATAAATATTAATTCTACCAAGCGATCCTACAGCTTGAAACGAGTATAAAAATTCGAGTATCAATGCGAATAGGTAAGATGTCGTATTCGCCTAGATAGTATATATTTAATAAAAGATCAAATGAAACATTGGAGATGAAATATCCAATTTCTCAGATGTTTACTAAGCGATGCAAATATTTGGAAAAATTATTTAATTGATTCGATTAGCGTTTCGTTTGACGACACACATACGTTGCATGTATTCATGCAAAAATCTCCAAGCAAAATAAATCGCATTGGTTCTAAATTTTACGAAAGATTACCTTCAAATTTTCGTATTGCTTTCTTTTGCTTGCAAATCATCGAACCGCCTCCAACTCGGAGCCGGCCGCATTCTGCTGCAGGATCTGGAATAAAAAACAGAAACGATGACGTTAAATTCCGAGATTCGGTTTAACGAACAAGCGCACTAGTGGATCAACTTTTTCTTTCTCTCTCCCCCTTTCCCCCTGTGGTGATAATTCGAGTCATTCTAATTTTTACATCAGGATTTTCGAGAGGAAAGGGTTAAGGGAGGAAGCAGTGTAGCGAGTCCGTAAAACCTATCTTCGAGCCGAACCGCTCGGTCCTAATCGGATCCTCCGCACCCACCGGAACTGCTCTCAATGAAACTGCCACGTGCGCTGGTCACGTCGGGAACAAAAAAAGATTTTTTCCGATTAATCACAGTGATAAGGCGATTCTTCGCGAGTTCCAGGCGAGGCGAGGAAATGGAATTTCCGGTCATATTTCTTACTTAATTTTAATTTGCAGTCATCATCGATGACCGTCACGACTGCAACAAGTTGATACAAAACAGATTTATTTCGGTTGTTTTGATATTCGATGAACCGCGTGATGTAATAAGCTCTGAAACAATTGATCTTGATAGTTCACGGGTTACTCCAATCCAGGTCTAGGTTACGTCGCGCGACGTTTCGTAATTATTAAAATAAACATTGAATTTCCCAGGTTACGTGCGGATGGACAATTCGGTGTATTAATTTTCGAAGAGTTGCAACGCGCCGGCACGGAGCGAGTGAAAGTTTAATTTTCACAATCGTTCGAGTTGGTTGTGCACAATCGAATAACCGTTACGCTCGAGTCATACGTATTTAGCGGTAAACGGTCGTCTTAAACATAGCGAACTGGATAGGAGAACCATTAATGCCGTTTGAATGCCGAGAGCGACGACGAATACGTAATCAAAGTGCTAGTATATACTTGGGAAATTAATTAATCGGCGCGACTTTAGACGACAAACTTACTCTCAAACGCTAAGACCTGTACTTACTTCGTTATAACTATCTGACAGCTATCAGCTCCTGGTAAAAGTTTTTACGGTCGATTTTTCAAATACAATCAATTATGCTTTATACATCCTAAATTTCTCGGCGCCAAGTTTCTCTCTAATCGAGTGAACGTTCACTCGAAGCAGCAATGTAAAATATTGCATTCGCGGTATCGCAAGAACGAATATTTTGTTCAAACTTGGAGAGAGAGAGTGGATTCTTATAATTTGAAGCGAGTGAATATTTCAATCAATTGGAATAAATTTGTTCTCACGATGATGGAATATGACAGATTCAATCTTTGATCCCGAGTGAAAATAATCACTCGACGATTCAGAAAGGAGAATTCACATGAGTGAAAAATTCGAATGACTCGACCATCAAGGGCTCTTGTCGAGCGGAATGTCACTCGAGGAGAATTCGACTAATCTAGTCGACTCAAATCACCGGCAAGTCAGCATTCAAAATAAGTCAATCTTCTTACATTATATATATATAATTACGAATAATTTAATCGATTGACGAAATTACTTTGTAAATCAATGAAATCGAACTAATCGATTGAAACAATCATTATATGCATGTAATCACGACTTGTGCTCAGTGCCAATTCTGATTATTTAAGCAAACCAATCAATTTCTCAATCGATCAGCATGCTCAGCATGGTTAATCAACAACAATCGCGCGCGTGATCGCGGGGATATAAGCAAGCTGCGAGAGAGCAGAAGGCGCATCCATTAGACATCACCGTGAGCTCCATTACTCTTTAATTCGCGACGGTCTTCGAGATTCGGCCCCCGAGCGCCGCCTCTCCAAATGACAACGATGCCGCTTGTTGCCGCCAACAATGTGGCTTATCGTTGGCATAGGGCGTAGGGCGTCCCGCGTGATGGAGATATCATGTATCGCGGGGGTTCGCCTGTCAAGACGCGAATGGGCCTCCCGTGAAGTCCTCGGCGGTGCGCCGACCGCGAATTGAATCGAAGCGGCGTCTCGCGCCCCCTTCGCCCTTCGCAAAAACCATCCGGGCCATGCCGCGCGTCCCGGCGGGAGGGTGCGCGCCGGGAGAGAGTCCCACGGGAGCTACCGTCGATTATCCCGGGGCCCGGACGAGCCCCGGGACGAGCGGCGTGCGCATTTGCCGAAAAACCAACGGTTATTATCCATTCTCTTTGGGCGCTCTTGGCGATGCGGTTTCGCGATGACAAAGCCAGCCTGGCCGGCCTGTCGGCCGATATTCGCGCAGCCACTTCATCCTTACGAACCCGATAAAGCCCGTCTTAGATTTCAACGGGCTCGGAGCTCCGTCTCCAAGGGGAATCGCTAATTTAAGGTCAAGGAGAGCACCGGAATTATATCGATACTCTCTCTCTCTTTCCTCCTCCTCCTCCTCCTCCTCCTCCTCCTCCTCCCCCCCTCCCTCTTCTCTAGCTTCATTAAGCGCTGCTAAGTATGTTACTCCGTGTCGGATCCGCGCGTATAAGCTGCTGCATTACAAGAAGCTTCCCGATTCGCTATCGCGGAAGGAGAGAGAAACGATCGACTGATCGATCTCGCTTTATTAGAGATTTATTTATTACGGCCGTTTGGCTACTTATAGATGCGATTCTCAACGTGCCGTTTTATTATTCTTACTCGTTCATGTATCTTTTTTCTTTTGCGACAAAATGCGAGAGATGACGGCCGCTTCGCGCGGGATATTTTGTTCGCAGAACTTCCTGGGTGTCGAAGGTACGAGCTTACAGTGGCGCTTCATAGCCAGCCACCTGGTAACGCGGCTGTCACGCGATTCTTTATCGGACAAATCGGAAGTGGGATCGATGCCGGATACGAGCGGTATATACATCCTCTCGGAGCTGTTCATGGTGCTCGGCTATTTCGCCGTTAACAACACGGACAATCAGGTAACGCACTGTCTGACGCGAGCGAAGATCTCGAAATTCGGAAGGGTTCCGTGCGCTTTCCTAGCGGATTCAGCAGATTTACTCTCCAAAGAGTGACGCCAAAAATAGGCCAAAAATTGCCTGTTTCGCCACCCTTGAAATCCGACTTGAATTTGGTGCTAAACGACAGCTACATACAGGGTGTCTGGAAAAATACTGGAACCTCGGATAACTTTGCAGGATCAAGTTTTCATGAAAAACTTTAAATATAAAAGTTATATAGATATAGATATAATAGAAAATCGACTTACTGACTTTCGGAAATTTCAAAATCATCAAATTAACAAAAATCAGGGCACTATTGTAACAATATATTCTTGAGACTTAATAAAGCAAGAAAGTCTAATACCACTTTTTCTTCCGACCAATAGTTAGCGAGATATCGTAAATTAAATATTGAAAAAGTTATCAAGTTTTCCTCAAATATGTCAAAAAATATTAGGCAAATAAAAAAATGTTTTAGACAAAAGTTGTTTAAATTAATTGGTAGAAAAAAAACAGTGTAATAAAAAATAAGGATTCCCATTTAAAAAACAAGTTGACCTTCAAATGACCTTGAAGGTCATGGCCAAGGTTTCCAAATTCAAGGTCACCATCAAGTCTGTTACTCGATTTTCTACAATTTTTGTATTTAAAGTTTTTCATGAAAACTTGCAAAGTTATCCTGCAAAGTTATTCGGGGGTTCCGGTATTTTTAAGACATCCTATATAAGATATTGATCCTCTGAAAGTTTTAGATTGAGCCCACTCTTTATCTTCAAGATATGAGGGTTCAAAATTCGCATTGTGCATCAAATGCCTTATTCACTGCTTCAATAAGATCTATATGCAAAAAATAAGATCATGATATATGTCATGAAGAATAAGATCTTACATATATACGTATACACGTGTGTGGGTCACACTCTCTCAATCCGTTAATTCTCATAGGTAGCCCAGAGTGGATTGCATGAAAGTGACTACGGGATGTACGATGTAACCGAGAATGATAATTATTGGCGAGAAAATATTGTTAAAATAATCTATTCGTAACTGAATTGTTCAAACAATTTATTGCAGAAATGATTTTCAGCAAGAAATAATAGCGCCATCTCGTACAACAGAGGAAATCACATGTTAACAAGGTACCATACAAACCGAAGATTGCTAATGTTATAAAAAGGCAACAAAAAGACAATCAATAAACAGCCAAAGTTTTATCCCGTCTCTGTCCATGCCTGAGCAAACAACTGATTAAGGGAACTGCCAACTGGCATAAATGGCTCAAAACCGTTGATGCACAATGCGAACTTTGATTCCTTATATCTTGAAGATAAAGAGTGGGCTCAATCTGAAACTTTCAGCGGATCAATGTCTATGATATATAACTATCGTTTAGCACCAAGTCTGACTTCAAGGGTGGCGAAACAGGCGATTTGTGGCGTCACTCTTTACTTAACTTGCCGAAGTTGCTTGTAATTTCTTTCAAGTCACGTTCAAATTGCAGAGAAACATTTTCCATTGTGTGTTCTCTTGAGAATTATTTTTCCGCAAAAATTTCAAAATTTTCTCCATGAATATTTCTTTGAAAATCGTTCTTTGTTCCTCAGCAGTGCTGACAAAAACGTTGAAGGAAGGTCGCGCAGGAACCTTTCCCAATTCCCCAAAGTCTTTGTTTTGAATACTTCTCACGAATTTCATACGCTTTGACCACCCACGAAGAGATCTCGACTGCGTTTCGAACTTTCTTCCTTGTTCGCGCATTTATCGTATATTTATGCCGAGGATATTTCCTCGCCTCGTTAGGCCGTACACAGAGACAGAGCGGCAATGTCGCAGATCTCGAGATCTTCGAGTGGCGGTTTTCCCCCGGTAATCTCGAGTCACCCGGTACGTCCGCTGAAATACCGTCCGGTGAAATGAATGCGCTGAATGGCGCGTACAGCGCGCATTACCGGCGAGAAGGAGGAAGAAGCTGTTAGACACAACACACTCAGCGGACCTCCCATCAATATACGGCCGAACGCCGTTAAGATATATTTACGGCGTTCCGTTCCATACGTTTCACGACGACGCGTGCACGCGCGCGAGCGCGAGCGCGCACTCTTCCGTGCAGTGCCGGTCCATCGATTCGCGGGGCCGCGTGGAAAATTCGAATAAATAATTAAGTAACGAGAGAGCGCGAGAGATACGGGGAGGATAGACGACTGAGTGTTGTGAGATATGTATCGCGAGTGATCTCGAGAGACGAAGTATGAATCGATAAATGAAGCGCGACGATTGAAGTGGATACTCGTAGAAATAATAACATCCCCGGCATCGAGAGATGAATAACGGGAGAGACACTCGGGAACGCTCGACTGCAAAACTATCGCTTGTGACAATCGGCACGTTTGCGTTTTAGTTGGTAAATACAATACAAAGCGGAATATGGTTCGTTGAGAAAAATTAATTAAAAGGCTAGTCGGGAGAATGATCTATTGCGTAACGGTCAGCGATAATCTCACTTATGGCACGTTTTCATCGAGAACAAAATCGCTCGGTTAATGCGTGACTTTATTTTTATGTGTCCTCTCAGCGCAACTCTAATTCCCGCAACACTCAGTCTTCCCAGGTGTCTTTAGTCAAAATAGTTTGAATCACTAATCAGAGAACTTTTGAGAATAAATAAGCCGATCCTTTAATTGGATGCGTTTGTGAAATAATTATGATCTCTAATGGGTTGATTAAAATTCTCTGGGAGACAAAGATTCTTATGTGGGTGCTCTTTGATCGGAGGTTTTTACTGCATTAATAATAATTCGATCGGAGGATCCCTTTCTTCTCGCACGCGGAAACGACGAAAGTCGGTTTGGGGTTTGAAGCTAAGACCGATCCTGCACCCGCGGACGCGTCGATCTCGCGGACGCGTGAATCGGGATGTAACGCTGAGTGCACCACCAACGTCGCGCATTCGTCTTTCAGCGCTTTTTTAAGGAGCCGCTTTCTCTCTCTCTCTCTCTCTCTAAAAAACGAGCCTACCCTCTGCGTCCCTCTGCGAGGAGAGTAGCTCGGGAAAATCGTCTACGGAAGAGGCGAAGAGAAAGAGAGAAAGAGAAAGAGATTAAGAGAGGGGGGAACTGTTCGGAGGAGAGAGCGAGATGGAGAAGGAGAGGGTGAAACGACGGGACGCTTTTAAGCTTCCACGAGCATCTGCAGTAGCTAAGGTTATCGGCGCCGGCTACGACGGCTTCCATCTTCCCCGCTCATAAACATGTTCATAAACACGTCTATGTTCGTTTCTTGCCGAGACTCGTAACCAAATTCGAGAAGTGGCTCCTTTTTTCCCTCCCTTTGCGGTGGTGCCAATGCGTATGACATGTTAACCGTCCTTCTCTTATTTATTTTAATCTCGGGACCGGCGTTTACCCCCTTGGAACCGTGGAGCGGCGCGTGCCGCTCGGCCGCGTTAATCGTGTGACACGCTCGTCGCCGACCGGCGTCACGTTCTCGCTGGTGTCACGAAAAGTCAAAAAGGTGTACGAAACGAAACGGACGCTGCACACAACGCGTCGAAGATCGCTTTCCGCGCTCCTGTGTGATGTTCCCTCACTTCCCCCCTCACATCGTCGCTCTCACTTCTCTGCATATTCGGCAAGCTGCTCGCGTGTACGTTCGCCGAAGATTGGGAACGTGGAAGCTGCGGAGGGAAAGCCCTCGTGCCTCGGCCATAACTCGAAACGTGTCGAGCGACTCTCCACGTGGATCGATAAGGCTACCTTCCCGGCAGTTTCCGCGATAAAAGCCTTCTTTTTCTCTCGATAAAAGGACCTCGCGCTCTCCTCCTTCCTTTTCTCCCCTCTCCCCTCTCTCTCTCTCTCTCTCTCTCTCTCTGTCTCTCTCTCTCTCTCTGTCTCTCTGTCTCTCTGTCTCTCTCTGTCTCTCTGTCTCTCTGTCTATCTCTCTCCCCGATAGCGTCGCGAATCAGTCATCGAATTACGCGCCCTACCGAATTGCGTTACTGCGCTGTTACTGCGCGCGGTTACGGTTACGGTAACCACAACGGATGAGCCGATCCTCCGGCACACGCACGACGCGTACACACAGCCACGGACGCAATACGGGCCGAGGGAACGAGGATGTGTAATGTGGGCATTTCCTGCGAGAGTTTTCTGCAGGTGTACGGGGATTACAACGTCCTGTGCCATCGCGCGGTGGCACTTGTCGCGCTACACGCAGATGTCCGGCGACGTCTTCTTGCGCCAAGGACTCTCTTGCTTCCGTGACACCTGGGTCGCGTCCAGGTTCTCACGCTCTGTTAAGAAAATTTATCCAGCCGGCTCTTAATTAACCGTCTTGGTCGCGCATAACGATCGAGAGACTCCGTTCTCGTGGGTATCATGCGGGTAATTTGTGATTACAAGAGAATCTTCGTCCGGCACACCGGTCTTGCCTCCGTGAAAGACCGCGCCGACGAAACGCGCGGGCAGGACAAGCGGGTGCCTCGCTTGTTCGCGCGAAGAGAGGTCGCGAAGGCGAGATCGCGAGGAAAAAATGGTAACATCTAGGGAGTTAATACTTCGCGCACACATCCAACGGACTTGATTATTTTTGCATTTAGAGGAATCGACAAAGGTGGGTAAGAGCGGAGAAAGTCAGCGGTAGAATCACGGTAATTCATTTCGATCGTCGTCTTTTTCTACCGCGTTAATTAATTTCCTCATCATTTCCAGCCACCTCTTCTTCGTCGACGTCGCGGCGGTGGATTTTATAGAGCTACCGTCCGAGAGAGAGAGAGAGAGAGAGAGAGAGAGAGAGAGAGAGAGAGAGAGAGAGAGAGAGAGAGAGAGAGAGAGAGAGACAATTACACGCAAAAATAACAGAACGACGTGCGTCGCGGAAATCTGTTTCAGCTGGTTCTCCAGTCGGCCGGCGCGGGTCCTAGCGTTCTGCAGCAGTTGTGTACTCTACCGTTCCCTTTCTACGGAGACCCCAGACTGATACCGTACACAACCCCGGCGCTTTTAGCCGCCACGCATCAGAATCCCGAAGCGATGGCGATATTGTCTTGTGAATTATCGTACGAGGTAAGTGACGTTTGTTGCAACGTTCAAAACTGACTACGCCATTTCTCGAAATCCCGAATCTTCTCTGTGAGAAAGCTTATTTTAACTCGGCGCAGAAATTAAATTAATCCTCACTGTAATATACTCAAGGCTCTCCAACTTTTCAATAACTCTCTTAGAACGTTCCCTTTTTTAATGATTACACTATCGACACGCTCTCCTCCCGCCCACCAGCCGTTTCGCACTCTGCGATCGATGAAATCAACGAATGAATTTGCAAATTGTGCAGTTGCTGGAGCAGTACAGAAATTCGGAGGAAGGTAAACTGAATCCTTTGGTGCGTTTGCTGAAGGATAACGCCTAGTCCGCCCCTGTCTCCCTCGGCCGTCCGGCATGTTTCACCGACAGTTCAATTAGTTCAATTAGTGTAATTTCGCTCCTAAGAGCTCGCCAGGTATAAACAATCTACGTGTATCATATTCATCGTCGCCAGTGGGACATCAAGATCAGCTAAGCAGCCGTCGGCTCCTTAAAAAAGCGGCGGGTGTCACTCCATGGCGGAGTGACACCCCGCAGAACCGTAGCGACTCGAGAGAGAACGAATTGAGGAAGGGGAGTGAAAGCTAAACCATCGGACTCGATTAGCAGTGCCTCGTATTTCATTATTCAGCGATTGGGTGATTGCGTCACGTCACTTTTGTGACGATAATTACGTTGTGTCGAGCGCGAATGCTCCGCGAGAGTCCGACGCGCGCGCGCGCGCGCGTTCCTCCGTATCCGGGAATAAAACTCGATTTGCGAGCCGAGTTAAATTTACCTGCGAAGTAACGCGGACAAAAGACGTATGTTAATTTAGATCGGTGCTTCCCGGGCCATTTCGCTCGCCTATTCGCGGCCGTGATATACCGACGGTGACTCGCGCTTGAACGCGTTCGAGCGCGTGATATTCCGCGTCGTGAAGGCGCGCGCATGCGCGCGCGCGCGCGCGCGAGACGGACCGTTCGAGCAGGGCGATTTTATCCTCGAATTTTACTCGCACTCTCCTCCCGCGCAGGATATCCTTCAATCTAGTCCTTTTAACATTAGTGGAGCTACAGATTAGCAGTAATCTCGCAATCTCTTCACCGCGTATTTCGTACTATATTTTTACGACCGCCCGTCTCCACGCGTGCCAATCTATCTAGGTGCAAAGAATGTGTCTTCAACTGGGGCTTTCTTCATGTAGCAATCGTCGCGCGGCGAGGCCCGATATACATATAGTAGTAGGAAGATCCTGATGCGTGTGTTCACCGCTTAAACCGCGTCCGAAAACGACAAGGATCTCTCGCGGAGACCTCCAGCTTGTGCTCCCCGGTGTCGCGGTTCCGGTTTCACTGCGCGGAACTGATCTTTCGAGCTAATTCAGGCGCGAGTTTTCGCGGCTGCAACTAACGCATTCGTGCAATGTCCTGCCAATGCAATTGATATTAAGTACTATATATACATATATATATATATATATACATATATTATGTACACACACACACACACACACACATACGACTTACACGCATATTCAAGAGATATTTAATATTAACGATAACATCAAAGTCGAATGAGAATGGGAATCATAAATGTCTCACACACGTTCGACCTTGAGTAATATAACGATATATAATATAGTAATATATATATATATATTAATAATTAATATATATATAATATAGTATATAGCGCGTTGGTTGCGCCGAAATGTTCGCCGTTCCAACGAGCCGTTGATATTCACTTCTCATCCGGAGGCGAAACTTTCGTGCATGTCGACCGACGTATCTCGCACGACGCGCGATTAATAGTCCAATTAAATCGTAATGTCTAATGAGCTAGATCGCTTTCGTCAGTTGCTGAGGGCGTTCGCGGGCGTAGCGTAGTTCGCGTTACAGGAACGAGAGGAGACAGAGAAAGAGAGAGGCAGTATTTTTCTACGGTAGCTCCTACGAACGCGCGCATACGATTAGACTTTAAAGTGACATCGTTCACGAGAGAGAGAGAGAGAGAGAGAGAGAGAGAGAGAGAGAGAGAGAGAGAGAGAGAGAGAGAGAGAGAGAGAGAGAGAGAGAGAGAGGAGAGAGAGAGAGAGAGAGAGAGAGAGAGAGAGAGAGAGAGAGAGAGAGAGAGAGAGAGAGAGACTCACGTGCCCCCGCGAGGACGTGTCTCCGCGACGCGGAGTTCCGTTCGTCCGATCACGATACGTACTTATGTATCCGCGCGGCGTCATTCGACGAGAACTCACGCGAGTGTCGCGATACTCGTCGTAATTATTTAGGATAGTGTGCTCCAGAGAGATAACTGTACACTACTACTACATCGACTCGTGCGACTAGCTGTCAGTGCCGGAACGGTGGAACACACTAAGAGACCTATCTCGTCTTTTTCGTCCTTGTGCGAAATCGCCGCGCCGCGCCGCGCCGCGCCGCGGCGCTCGCGGCGCTCGCGGAATATCGTGAGATGCGCGCGGCCTTTCGCGTCGCAATTAACCGTCGAAGTCACTTCCGTCGCTTGCATGTCGAACGAATTTCTAACCATCTTTTTCACTCTGCATACTCCACTTGTTGCTGCGTTGTACGTACACGGAGCCGTTTCTCCTTCGTGCTGTGTCGCACATCACAAGTGTGTCGTGACGAGTATTAAGGTGAGTAAGTGCGACGGGTCTGCCGCCGGTAGCCATCGTCCCGACACTGACAATCTGTCACGATTGGTCGACAAAGTCGGGGCCGGGGTCAAACGGGGCAAGCGAGCGACGAGCGTTCCCGTTGGGATCTAATCTTAAACGATAAATTTAATGTCTGTCGCAAGGATGTTACACCCGCGAGTGCGAGCAATTGTGATTTTCATTCGTCCGAAAATGTGATCGCGTCCCGCGGTTGGACTTTGGGCGCTTGGCGCCCAACACCAGCGCGAATCCAACGCGCGACGGCCGTGTTAATTAAGTCGCACGTCAAGGCGAATCCGGAGAACTCACGCGACGACTGTCTTCTTCATCGCGGGAATGAGCGGGAGCAGTTTTGAGATTTCTCTCGAGCGAGCGTGTCAAGTGCCATGCGTGTGTATTTGACGCGCGAATCAAGCGGAATTTTTATCCGAGCGCAACGCGCGCGCGCACACGTCTCGCGTGTATGCGTGTATACGCGAAGCAGCAGGCTAATGTATCACATATGTAACATACCATCCGTATTATGTAATAAAGGTAACACTTTGCGATATATGTGCGTGCGTCTCTCTGCATACTTAATATCAACAGCTCCCTGGCCGATGACACGATGAAAGAAGCTCTCGCGTCTCAAGCTCATGCGGATACAAGAGGGTTGCGGAGCTGTGTGATATTGACTCGAGAGGGCCGAGACGTAAGTCACGTGAACGTTGAAGAGGGAGGGATCGTGTCGGGGTAAGTAATCGAAGAAACCGAGGAGATCTATTAAGATTCGACGCTATTTCTCATTGCAACCCCCGCGTGTTATACGATAGATATAACTCTTTTTTCCTTAGAGCAGATTGTTCCAACTCTTTGGTGAGTTAACTGATAGCTAAATCATATGTCTGTCTTCGTCTAAATTGAAGGAAAAACAAAGACAAACGTATGACTTAGCTTATCAAGAAGTTGAAACAACCGGTCCTTATTGTGTCTCTAAAAAGCGCACGCGAAATCGCCGCGACGCTGCCCCGCGTTTCTTTGATTCTTTCGCTCCCCTCCTTCTCTCCCTCTCTTGTTTCTTATCCGGTCGTTTCGCGGCGATCGAGAACGAATCGAGTCGGAAAGAGAGAGAGGGATGCTTGCCGTCGCGGATCGGGAGAGGCGCCGACGAAGTTTTCTCTGTGAAAAACGGCATCTCTCACGTTCAGCCAGAAATGTGACGCCCTCACATGCGCGTCATAGAAAGAAAGAGAGAGAGAGAGAGAGAGAGAGAGAGGAAGAGAGGGGGAGGAAGAGAGAGCGTTCACGAGGATGACGTATGGGGTCCATAGGGTAATCTTTTTTCCGAAGCGTTTTAGCGCGATGCGCCTCTACTTTTTCCGGCGCCGTAATCTATAGGCGCACTTAATACAGCCGCTCGTTTGAGTAACCTCGCCCTCTCCTTTCTGCGCTTTCGCTTGCCTCCTCTCGCCCCTCTTTTTCTCTTTCCTTTTCTCTTATTCTCTCTCGCTTCTATCTCCCTTTCTTCCTCTATCCTTCTCGCATGCATTCGTTCAACGTGTAACGTCTCTCCCCCGCTCGTTTCTCATGTTATCCCTATTCTCTCCCTTTCCCTCCCTCGCCCCACCCTCCTAAACCTCCTGCTCAGTCTCTTTCTCTTTCTGCCTGTTGTGCTCGGCATCTCCAGGCTCCACTTAGCGAGACTGCATAATATATCACGCGTGAGCTGCTTTTACACCGCACACCTACGCTCGGCATGCAGCGGCACTACAACACGACGTTTATGTGCGCGCCACGCACGCACGCACGCACGCACGCAGCAGCGACCACGTGCACCGAGAATGGAGACGCACATTTTGCATTTTGCCGGCGCACCCGGTGCATTTCGCCACGTGCGTAAATCGACTTCTCGCCGCCCGCGGCTCGTCCGTAACGGCTGTGTATAATCAACGACGGAAACGTCGTTCCTAAATTTTCTCCCGTGCGGTCTCCGCGCGCCCCGAGTACCCAGCCATCACCACGTTCACCACGACGTGTCCCCGCCCGATTAACTGTTGACTAACGTCGACTCTTCTCGACTACCGCGCGGATCTCGCGGTCGGAGTCTTTTAGACGTCTGACTAACAATTGCCGAGGATTCCCAGCGACAGCCTCTTTATCCTAGTTCCCCCTCGCTAATGCACACGTCGGCTTTATTTTATTGTCATTCTTTTAATAATTTCATATTCTGAGTCTCCGAGCGAGAACGCCGGAATGAGACGTGAACAGAAGATAGAACTCGGGCGGAGAAAACACGAGGAAGTAAACATATCCCTGTCGCTGATTGCAAAAGAGCACCGGGAATAAGGCTGTAAGAGGTGCGAGGAATTTGACCGCGGTAACATCGCGGGACCCTACAAGATTGATAAGGACAGCGAAAAAAAAAAATTAGAATCCTGGAGAACATTTAGAACGAGACCTGGGCAAAACCGCGTGGGCGATTTTAATTCAAAAGAAAAAAAAAAGAAGAAAAGGACTAAGAGAAGAAGAAGGATAAACCGGAAATCACCGTGATTTCGCGAATAGAGATAATGACAAGGGATAGAGAGACGAACGGCAGTGGCGGCGGCGACGGAGCGTTCTCACGATTACAAGAGAGGAAGCAACCCTTTGCCGCGCGAACGCGTGCGAGAAGCGAGGGCATGCGTGTGTGCGGGGGCGCTATGTCCATTACGCTTATTACAACCCCGACCGCTCCGCCGCCGCCGCCGCCGCCGCCGCCGCCGCTGCCGCCGCCGCCGCCGCCGCCATCGTCCTTTAACCATCCGCTCCCTCGATCCGCCACCACCCACCCTTTTACGTGGATGAACATCGATCGACACACGACCTGGAATAGGTCGGCTGGCTGCGCCAGTCAACGCGCCAGGTAACTAAATTGCCCTCGTTCTCGACGTCCCGAATTTGGTTAGACCGAACGTCGAAACTTCGATAATGTCCGGGCACTTCCTGACGGGGAACCGTGTTCGGTGGTTGGCGTTACCACTCTCGCGTCCGGCACAGCCGCGTCCGGCCGGCCTTTTTTGCACGTGTCAATCCATAAATTGTCTTACGAGACGGCTGCGAATTGCATGTCTCGGTCAGGTCGGCTCGTTAATGTCCGGCGAGTTGGCACGAGTTGCGACGAATGTCCTTTTTTTATCAATTTTAGGGTACTACTTATGGTGAAGGTTATGGTGGCGATTGTCAAAATGTAAAGCCGGTACAGCAGCCTTAATATTTTGCGCAACTGGGTTTTTTTAATTGTACGCGATACTAATTTATTACTTATTGATTATTAATTAAAGTAAAGGGAACGATTCTGTGAGAGCGGTATATTTGTCCAAATGGTGATTTTAATGTCAATGTCTAGAGAAGAATTCGTGTGATTAGGAGATACCAGTAACCCCTTGTTCTTGCCGAATGTTAGGTTTATCACACAGCCGATCTGTGTACGTTGCAACATCGACCGTTGACTGAGGTGGGGGATATTGCACGAGCAGAAAGTCTCATCAAGCTATGCGGAGTAAACATTTTTTGATATTTATGACTATGATTATACAGAGACTTTGTTTTCGATTTTGCTGACGCAAGTTATTCGTCTGTTCCCATTGATCACGCGCGGTGA